CTGTTTCCTTATCGAATGCTCGTTTCTGTCAGTATTATCTCTTCCAGGCAGGTTTCTTTTTAGCTGTACTTTGTGTCATAATTCAGCACCTTAGCTGTGTAGCAAGTTGTTGAACTGTGTTTGTGGGGGGTGGGGGGAGAATTCGTCATGATGACTACAAACTTTATTGTTAACGTGCTAACGCAGGCTTATTGTTGTTGCGTTCACTCACTCATCTCATCATTCACTCGTTTCTCGCTACTTACGGTTACTATGACCACTGTTTAGGCGTTCCTAATGACAACAGGTGGTGAATTTTGACTTGCAACCGTGCAAGTTTACTTCTCATGGGCATATTTCACTTGCCAATTTTAATGTGCAGAGTGAGTCCACTTAGCTTCCTTTCTGTGAAATCACGTGACTGTCATTATTTTATTTTTTCGATTTTCATTTAGAGTTCCATGATAGGGGCTAGGTTCTGAAACAAATTATAGAATTCTACTTCTTCAAACGCGTTTTCTTATGGTCAGAACAACCAGCTGACGTTAATTTTGTTCGCTTTCCCCTCCACTTCTCATTCACAGCTACTGGCACTCTATGCCCTCTGGATGTGTTATGGACTTCCCCATCGTGCTTTGTCATGGGCTTACGGGCCTCATCTCAATCTTCCAGTATAAGCACAATGCGCACCGTGATGGTCTATGCACCGGTAAATTTATTCCTAGAACTCCGGGTATTCTCCTGGCGATCAGCTTTATGTAGTAATGTTTTCAGGTTTCGCTTATGTTTGATCTTTTTAAATCGTTACTATTGACGACATTCTGTCATAGGATACGACGTATCATTAATCCGCTTCGCATTTAGCCCTTTGTTTGAGCTAAGACGTTTAGCTTCGTCTGCTTTCAATTGTTGCTAGAGTCGCTTCGCCCNTCGCCCGAGCGTTCACATTCATTGTCTAGTTGATTTACATTTACAGTTATGTGCTTAGGACAGAAGTTTGCCGGATTCTCACAGGTACCAACTGAGCTCACGATGTGTAAGATGGACACGGAGTGAATCTGCCACCTCAGTGTAGTTTTCTTTAATAAAACTGTTTGATCGGATAAGCATTGATAGCGTAAACGTCAGTAGTGTCTTTCATTACACATCATCGTGTAATGAATGGTACACGGAGTAAACCCCATAGTCTCAAGAGATTACTTTTTATTATCGATTGTTAGAGACAGGGATTTGGTCGAATGTCGTAAACTTTGGTGCTCGAACATTTAATCATTTTTTTTTCATGACTCTGGCATGCTTGAATCATCCATCATTTTCGTACAGCGAGATACAGTGAAGCGAGCTTCACTGATCGCTGCCAAGCTCACAATGCACACAAATCAAGTGATGAAGTACAAGATGGAGAGGGATTGGGCCTACTTGGAGGGAGGCAAAGAAAAAAAACCTCTATGTTCAACACACAGAGTACACCATCTAAGTGTTCATACATACCTTTCCAAGCATTCTGACCTGATTGCAAGTGATAACAAGAACTCCACTGCTGTCGGTTAGTCGACTAGAGAATCACCGCCGACTTTGAAAAGAATAGGGAGAAGCCCATCAGGTCCCACAGCCTTTCCGTTCCTTAATGATTGAATGCAGCTTAGTACTTCCCATTCTGACGTGGGCTCGCATGTTACCACCCATGGAGTTTCCACCGCAGTTGCTGGAATAACCACATTAGCACTAGGCTAATTAAACTGTTCACTAAAATACTCTACCCAGCGATCAAATCGTTGTTCTTTATTGTGGATAATCTGTCCATTTTTATCGCAAACGGTCTCACTGACCGGCATGCGACGACCTCCGGTGCTGCGTATCAGGTGAAATAGTTTCAGTTTCAGTTTTACAACCATTGACCATGCACCTTCGTGCACGGGTTTTGGTTGCTGTCTTTTGGTTTCCCATTTGGATAAAATAGCAGAATGAAGATGGGAATGTCGAAGCAAATTCAAGCGGAAGATGGGGAATACATATAGAGTGTGTTAGGAAAATAACGAGTGGATGCACGAGCGTCACTGTTTGCGACACCCA